CTGAGGTAACTGAAGTATTACAGAATTAAGTTGCAGGCTGACTCGTTTTACAACCCTACTTAATTGATCTTTTCGAGTCAAACCGCATTTCAGCATTTCGGTTAACGTTTCATGAGTTAGCCTACTTACTGTAAATATACCTATAGGTTAAGTATGTAAGCGATAGCAAACTCGCAATAGCGTCCCCCGAGAAGACTTTAGTGCCAAAATCACCCTTACCAGCTACCCTGCGGGCCATAAAAGAACCTGCATTCGGACTCGGGCTATTCGCCACCGCGGAAGCGATGACTTACTTAAGAAAATAATTGATAACATGTGGTTATGTGGCCCCACCTGATAGACACAATGCTGTTGAAGTTGGGGTTAGGGTTTAGAGTTGGGGATTAGGGCAACCATTTTCCAACTACCAAAAGTACAACCGCGCATGCCCAGCGGCTTTTCTTTTGCATAAAACTACTTGAGCTCGCCACCTTTGCGTTCCCCGGCCCCACTTGTGGAAACCCCATTATCACCGGTCCCGTATTACAGGTGGCTGAGGTTTGTTTACTTCAGTTGCGACTCTATAACCGCATCTGACCAAAAACCGATCTATATATTTATTCCGACCAAACGGATATCTGATCAGCATTGTAAAAATTGTCTCAGATGTCAGAGACAGCCGCAAAACCCCGATCTTAATGAAGATAGTGTCGCGGAAATTCCACTCACTGCCGTCCGTACATTTAGGGAATTTCTGAAACACTCTCCTGGCAGTTAAATCTCTTTGGCATCTCCATCGCCCACAAGCCCTCATCTTCCCTACGCGAGGAATTATGCCGAGTTAGGGAGCCGAAGCCCAGAGAACGACTAACTAATGTCATTTACCACATTCCGTAGGCCAACTGCTGTTGTGTTTACGTTGGTCATACAGGCCAACGTATCGGGGCTCACATTAATGAGCATAAGTTAACCCTCCGCGATGTGACTCCTGGTACCTCGTGTTTGCTCACTCCCTTGAGTATGACCACGGCTTCAATTAGTACGGTACTGAAATGATTGTAATGGCTAACATCAAACAGGCGCGAGTATCCCTCGAAGGTCGGCATTTTAACACAACCAGCATCAACCGCAATGTCGATCTGGACGCCCATTATGAAGGCCTGCGATAACGTACCACTGAGCCATGCCGCATCACGACAGCTAATCCAGCCGCCTGCGGCCCCGCTACCCTACCATCTCTCCTCCTGCAGCACTTAGAGGCCCTAACTGTTCTCCCTTCAGCTCAGAAGCCATCCGTGAATCTGTACCTACCACAGCCCTCTTACAGGTTAATGGTCTGTCCTGTGGCGCCGACCAGTCTAGTATGGCTGTCTCATTTTCTCCTTTGTCCTCATTTCGTCTGACAAGAAATTGGTGTCACGAACTTGAAAATTCACTGGTACAACTCGCTTTTTCGAAGTGCCTTATCTTTTTTCATATATATGTGTATAAGGTAGGCGTCCCAAGGAATATAAGCTGAAGTAAGACGTGTTCATTTTCGACGTCAGTTTTCAGGTCGTCGTCTGACGTAGAGCTAAGAAAATGTGCCAAAAAACTCAATCATAAGTGCACTTTAAAAAATCGATACTTATTTGACGTTTACGCCAGTAGGCACATTCCCAAAGAAGAATTCACCAGATGTTTACTTAGAGGGCTTGCCTGGAAATATCTACTTCCTTTGCTTTTAATTCTTGTTGTCTCATGCATTGGCGTACAAAATCTCTATGGCCCCCATTTTGAGAGAATAATTCGAACAACTAATTCATTTCGAACTGGTAGCCTTCCATGTCTGGACAGTGTGTTTTTGTTCGATTTTATTTCGTGGGATGCCTACTTTCTAATACATATGGACATATGAATTACGACCGTATGGCGGTGGAAAAAATTTTGTAATTTACGAAAGTCAACAGCGAGGACAGTTAGATTTTCTGCGCATAGATGCCGAAACAGGGGGATTTTACCCCAATGTACGCATATAACGCCTGCCGTAGGAATTCTCTTGGGGTATTAAGTAGCATCTCGTTACAGCCGAAGCATGCTTGGTGCCTTCATAACTGCTTCTCATTACCGTCTCCGAACATGTGAAGTTTCTAGGAAGCAATACATGCGGTTTTTCCAGGACCATCTGCCCCTGGACTTATTTAAATCTCTACATGGCACAATTATCCATGTCTTCGAACTCGAACGAGCACAGAAGAGAAGTATATCTGACAAGAAGCGGGCGGCTAATTCTCAGCAGTCTGATGCATACCAGGGGTCTCCTAAAAAGATCGTAGTTCCATCTTCAAGAAATTTAGCAATAAGAGAATACAATATGCTTTCCAAAGGGATGAAATTCGATTTCTGATTAAAATTACTTGGGATTCCTTGCAAGCTTTAAGTCCAACATATCAGTAGGAAACCTCACAGAAGACGATCAGTCTACAATCCGAATAATTACTGTACAAGCTCTGGAAGATCAAAATCATTTTTTCAGGACTATCACCTGAAAAAGGAAGGGCTTAAGTAAGTTATCAACACAGACAAGGGAGACTGGAATGGCCATTTTTGGCTTGTGGGCCGTCGTCAGCCAGCCATACCCAACTCTGAGGTATGCAACTCTCGAGGTTAGAACTTGCAACATGTTGGTTAGAAATCCAGCGACCTAAGCATTGGACCGCAGGCTCGTTGCCCTGCCTGTTACGATCGACTATATTGACAATGATAGAGGGGGCGAACCGTTCGCGCTGCGGAACTCACTTGTCCTGCTGCGTCTAGACGGGAGAGCCTTAAATACCCTAAAAATTGAAAAAAACATTCTCGGCAGAATGGTATTACCGACAAAGACAAGGGAGACTGGAATGGCCATTTCTGGCTTATTAGCCGTCGTCAGCCAGCCATACCCAATCCCGAAGTGTGGAACACCCGAGCCTCGAACTCGCAACCTGTTGGTTTAGAAGTCCACGCCTCTACCCACCAGGCCACGAGTCCGTTGCCCTGTCGGTTTTCGATCGGGAATCATTATCGTCCCCTTTGAAGACCAAGAAGGCTCAACCACCATTTTTAACAAAACGTAATTAAATAAGAAGATGCCGCCTCTGTCAGCAGATAGATCAATCCGCAAATCTCTTTCCAGAAATTCTGCCAATGCTAAGATATCATCCTCTGTTAAGGCGTTGATGCGTTTTACGGGAGATTTTACCAATCGTTAAGATCTAGGGTCCGCATAATTTTCGCAAAACCGAGGCCCCTCTGCGACCGATAGTATCTTTAATCGGTGTGCTCACTTAAAAAATTTCTAAGTGGCTATTCCATTTTGGAAGGTTTATTGTTAACTCTGTAGACTTCCTAAGGAAATTTCAGGGAACCACGATTTTTGCTGATGAGACAGTAGCCTCCTTCTATGTCGTCTCTTTGTTCACATCAACACCGCTCGATTTAGCAAGATATTGAACAGAAGGATTCCTACCGTCAGACGCTACAAATGTTCTCACACCTTCCTTTCTTGAACTCAGACGCATGTTAACATACCAACTTTTCATTTAACCACTACTACTATCAATAACTTATAGGATCTCCTATGGGCCCACACAAATCCGGCTTTCTCGCGAGAGGACAATGCAAAAACTCGAAGCTACGAGTTGCGACTTCTGGACGACATATTTGTTATCATGATAAAGGACCAACTGGGAACATTCCACAACGCTTTAAAATCAGTAATGCCAGGTGTTAAATTCAGCCTCGAGAAGAAGGTCTACGGCAAACTCTCATTTCTAGATGGTCTTGTAAAACAGAAGCCTCATGGAACATTATGCAAATCCGTTAGCCGCAAAGAAAAGTATGCGGAAGTTATCTTGCACCCATCTCGCACAAACGGGTTGCTGTCTGCAGTTTGGTTAATTGAGTGAAAACACGCTGTTCTGACGAAGAAGGCCACCAGGTTGAACTGACTTACTTATTCGAATTAATCTCTCAGTATAACAATTAATCTCTCAGATAACAAAAACCGAATGAAAAGTAAGTAGATAGTTCCAGTTAGGCCCCTAAATTAAATATCTGACAAACTATTCTTTAAAAATGCGTCTAATCTGAGAAAACACCAAATATGAGTGACTCACAAGCCGACGACTACTTTACGCACTCAGCTGATACACCTCAGATATAGGGTGGGCTACTTAAGTAAGAAGGAATTCGTCTACAAGTTCCAATGCGATACCTGCGATGCGGTTTATTGTATTCAAACTGGAAAGCCATGACCTGCACGCATTTACGAATACCAGTTAGCTGTGGAGAGTCGAGACCACCTATCCAAATCGGCCACGCATCCCCCGGGCACCGGACACACCTTCGCTCCGGCCAAAACTCGCCTTATCGGCGTCTGCCATTTCAAGATATGTCGACAGTTCCTCGCGGTCACGTACTCAGACGAATCGTGCATCAACCGGCAAGCCGAGTCAGATGTCGCGTACAACAGCTTCTGACAGAAGTGGAAAAGACGAGAACCAATCGGAACAGGATGAGACGCAGCGACCGCCTCCGTGCGCAAACGCCAAGCAAGTATCGATTGGTTAAAGGGCATTCACAATGTTAGCTGTTTTGGCACACTTTCTCTTCTCTGCACTTAACCAGGGCCTGGGGAACCGGTATCGAAAATTAACACAACTGAGTCTCTTTACCCAGAGAAAATATCTGAAATCCACAAATCTATTGATAATACACATTAATTATGAAAGCAGAAACTGTAGAAATTACAAGGAACAACATGTGAATGTTATGAAAAAAGTAAGAGCATGTGAAAAGTGTTTTTAGAAAAATGCGCACGGTTATAGTTGGACTTTATTCCGAGCTTTTTTCTCAAAAACTGCTTGGATTGTGGTCGGAGCCGAGCATAAGACTGATCCGAATGTGAAGTAAATGCTCACTCTGTCAGAAGGACTTAAGAAGATGATGATGGATGGTTCACCACTGATTGAAAATGTAGCATTAAGAAATGGTTCTGCCGCCTAGTCCTCACAAGTTTGACTCCACAAGATGGCTGATTTGTTCTTCTTGTGAATCAGCTCCTCCAGGGCTGTCACCGTGGAGGGGTCAGAAAGCATGAGAACGAAGAGACTGGAATTATCCTTCTTGGTGTACTGTAAAAATATCAAACCCTTCATGGCATCATCGCGCTTCAATTGAACAACTCCATCGTAGGGCAACTTGATGACGGGCTTTTCGTTGCCGCTACGGTGTAGCGTGAGACAGTCCGCGCTACCCTTGACTATGAACGCTGTTTGTTGATCCTTATTTCCGATGGCGCTCTTGAAGAGTTTTGAGATTTCATCCAGTGTCACGTAGTCGATGCCCCCGCAACGAGTGTTAAGTAACATGGCGCCTAAACTGGTGAAGATAATCTCGCCTCCCTTCTTCGGCATTTCGCGGTCTCTGATGGGGAAAAGTTAGCAATTTCGGTGGCTCCAAGGGGCGTACAACTATAAACCGGCGTTGGATCAAGACTTTTATTGATCATTAATACGTACTCGCGCAAGTCGCATGTCTATTGGTGAATCAGGCAGCGTGTTCTATTAATTGGCATGTGGAGCACTCAGCCTTGCATTTATTTGATTGGTAGAGAGGGTCAAGACAGTTTACGCGTTAACGTTTCGCAAAAATCATCATTTTGAGGTTTTTCGACTTCCTGTATTTTTTCATTCCCGCGGTTTTTTCTAAGAGTGAAGAATAAGAAGGGTCGAACACCGGAACACTGCGTCTATTGTCCTGAGCTTTCAGACTCGTACAGGAGTTCATCATCAGAGGTAGCAGCAGCAGCAGAACAAAGGACAGTTAAACGGCACGTGTATTTTTGTCAATGCCAAAAGTTTAGTTTCGAAACAGAATCCTTAAGACGAAGGACCTTAAAACATGTTGATTATTTTGTACTATTCTGATTCCTGTTAAGGATTAAGGTAACGGAGGTCTTGAGAGCACGTTGAGGAAACTAACTCAACAGATCACTGCCTTGCATCTCAACACACCGATATAGCAACTGCGTTTGTGGATGATCCGGTGGCTGTTGTTGTAGTTTCATACTTGGGAAGTATTCTTCGCTTTTATGAACAGTCTTTGCGACAGATGAGGACATCATGCAAGGCCAGTTGGCTGTTTGCCTCCTCCAATAGTAAACCGTATGACCAGGAAGACGAAGTTGAGCCTTTATTTGAATATCAAAGCCTAGTCCCATTCGAAGATGACGAAGTTACCACCCACGTACCGAAACCCACTCGTCCTCTTACGCACTCGTAGTTTAATTAATCATATGTCCGTTGTCATAGGTCGTCGTGAAGTTCGTTTAGTCCGAAATGACAGTAGGTTTTTGGATAACCGCTATCTACAAGAGCAAGAAGAATTAAAGGTGGCGTTTCTGGTTTCTTTTTTGTCCTTTGTCGGTCATACACCAGTTTCAGGCGGAAAAGACTCGAGTTTTGGGCACGAAGTCATTGGTTAAGAAGAACTGGCGTCTTCTGGAGTCTTCGTTTATAGTATTTCTTCTGACTTGTTACTCTTTCCGATTCACATGTCGTTGAAGCTTTGTTATGCCAGCTTTGAGATATAGCAGACCATTCACAGACCGTATGTCTGAAGTGACCTCTTGTCTATTGAAGATCCAGCAACTACATCAAGTTGCCTCCCCAAAGGAAAAAATATGGTGATGTCCGAAGACCCAATTACAGATACTTGTTCTCGCGAACGCAAAGGGACAGGTCCAAAGGCGGTCTGCGGCATTCCTCTCTGCCGAAAATAACGAGATCTCCAGCTAAATTCTGAAACTTAGCACAAAAGCGGGAGGATTCCATTACCGGGGCACCGATATCGCTGAGCACTGGTTGTCAGATCAAGTCAATTTCTGCAGGGTTCATTCTCATTCTTCACTTGGCGACCATCTTTTTAATCAACTATAGAAATTCTAGTTTGAAGATGTCGTTGTCATCAGTAGGTATTTTTTAACCATCGGACCTAGGTAGGTCAAAACGGAATCATTTTCTCAAGAGAGATCAGAAACTGGTAAGGTTTTTAGAGTTAATGATCCTTAGGTAATAATTGACAATTGTCCTTGGTTTCTGCTGTTATCACATTTACGACAAAGGCCACTTAAGTAGTCTTTATGGTTTCCTCCGCCTCTTCGGCACTTATAAACGACTAAGAATCTATACTAGAAAACATTTTCTTTTACGATCTAAGTCAGTAGTGTCAGCAGTTTTCAAAATAAGAATTACAGTTCTGAATTTTATTACGGTCTCTAAGTTGGCCGGTGGTACAGTTTTTTGACAAATTATCTTTATGGCGCCGGCATAAACAGATGCGCTGTCAATAAAAAGTTTGAAATATATGTACAGAGGAAAGGACAAAAAACTGCAGATTTTCACAGTAGGTACGTCAGTGAAATATTCCAGGGGTACTCTGTTCTAATGGCAAATTTTTAAAGATTCCGTGCATTAAGTTCATTAAAATACCAAATTTGTTTATCCTTTAAATTCTCATGAAACGTCTACGTTTTTAAACTGAATGATTTTCATAAACAGGACCGACAGAGTGGATTTGAAATGTTGTAAATAGAAATCTCTCTCGCTAACGTGCATTGCTTAGTGAAAGCACCTGCGTCGAGAGTGCAATACAACAATTTTAAATGTTGAACACTCCTTACTGCTGTCAGATTTTCAGGCATAAAATCCCACTTAATATCTGAATTTCGGAGGATTATTTCACATCCGCATATAGTGTAGGACATATGTTTAACTACTACTGACATCTCTAAAGTATTCCTGTCAAATATTTCATTTTAGGGCATACTTGGGACTCTCGGTCAATTTTTTGTGAATTTTGTCACCCAAAGTACCACTTCGGGGAATATGCTACTTTAAGCTTTCTCCCACGGTTCTAACTTACTGTACTTCATAACTGCAACGGACGTGAGACTAGGCTCGTAGAAGCAAGGCGTTTTACTTACTTCCATAACAATTGGTGCATTTCGTGAACGGCAGAACAGTTGTGCTAATGCGCTTTTAGGCAAGAAATCGGCAGAGGTAAGACAAATTTTACTTTTTACTTGAATTTTAGGCAAAAACCACTGAATTATTTTAAATCTAAACGAACACAGACTGCTGGTAGTTGTTAATGTACGTATACGAAGCATGGCTTCCCACCGGTCGTGTTCGGCATCTAGGATGTGAGAAATAAAAAAAGAAATTTTGCGTTCTTCCGTCAGATCTGAGTAACATTGTCCTGCCTGAACAATTACACTGTGGGATTCAAGCAGTCGAATTTCGAATCTTCCCCCTGAAGGCACTTAATTCATAAATTTTTTGAACTTTGAGGGATTTCGTTCTGTAATATCTGCTAGGTGCTGTACTTACAGTAGCTGTGCTTAATCATTAAATGTTAACCGAAATTCTAAAATGCTTTTTCCAATCAAAAAGATTAATAGAAGTAGGGTTGGAATATTAATCGCCATCCAGCGTAATCTTATGATAATTTAGTTACTTCACAATGCCGACTTTTGAACGAACCTCTTTCCGGCCGCCTGCAAGAACTGCGCTCGGTGCTTAAATAGCACGACTTTTCCTTATTGATGTTCGATACCCCTATAAATTCAAATACATCTCGTAGGAAATTTCATAAAAATACTCATTATTCCTTGTCACTTGGCAGAAAATTACTTTTTCAAATTTCGTATTTGAAAGAAGGGTATAATCCGGCTTTAAAAACTTTCTAATTATGAGATATTCAGGACTGTGAAATACCCGTTTATAAAGCATCGTGGCGCTGCATTATCTAATGTTGCTTACAAAGGTTACTATATGGCTCGAGCCCACTGCTAAACGTTATGAAGCCCAAATGGTTTCCTTTGAATAAGGTATAGGAATGTATGATTTTCCGCAGCTTGTAAGTTGGAAATCCCGAATGCAAATGCAACGGCGGATCGAGTTTCACAATGATTCGGGAACTAGGAAAGTTTTTAAAACGAAATTATACCCCTCCTCAAGCATAACATGTGAAGGAACGTACTTTTCTACCAAATGAGTAGAACAATAGATATTTTCATGCATGTTTTCCATGAGATATATTTGAATTCATAGGGGTATCGAAAATCAACGAGCAAAATTCCTGCCATTTAAGTACTTGTTTTTTTTCAGACCGTGATTTTTGCAGGCGGCCGAAAAGAAGTTCGTATAAAAACCGGTACCCTGAAGTAACTGAATAAGTATGGCATTAAGCCTCAAGATGGTCATTATTAAAACTCTACTTAAGTAATCTTTTTGAGTGGAAAACGCATTTCAGGATTTAGGTTAGCATTACATGACTTAGCACATCTATTGCATCCTTTATGCAAAGTCTATGTGCTGAAGTAGCATTAAGGATGACAGAGTTGGGCAACCAGGCAGGCTGAAGTTCTTCACAAAGCCCATCCTCCCGGGCAAGGGGCGTTTTTCTGTTCACGTAGAACTCGGGTTGACGTGGACTACAAAGACGACAACTATTTTAGTAACTACGACTCAACTCCTAGAAAAACCAATAACTAAAACAAGCTAACTCTGAACTTGGCCAACTTAGTCCCCACTTATCTCATCACTATCACATTAAGGCGTCTTTACTAAGGAAAAATAATGCTGTTGTGCTGGTCCATAAGTTCAAATTCTGTCATATTTTACAGTACGTGACCTATCTCATGAAATCTGATAACGGAAACTGACACGAGAATTTCTGGACGTCTTTAACGTTGAGCATTTTTTTTTGCTCATCCACATCCACGTCACTAACCGTACGTTGTTTAATGTATTCATACTATATGTCATTTTGCTCATCTAGCTAAGAGCTAGCTGAATTTGTCTATAATTTTTAATTTGGTTTACCTCTTGACTATTTGCATCCCAGAGAAACTTGAGTGTCAGGTCGACAACCGTGAATATTTCAGATATACTCTTTTATTCGGGATTGTTTGTGCCTTATTACTGACCCAACAGTAAATTACACCATTTTTGAAACTCAATATGACTGGTGATGAAAACTAGTGCTGTAAAATGGATGAGAAACAACATAAAAAGGACAAAACCCCAACAATCAAGCAACTTCTAGAAAACCAAACCTGAGCTTAATCCTCGCAAGTGGATGCTGCGTGTGTAGTAGGATATTGAGGGGGTTAACTACTACGAATTTTTTGAAAAGAATCAGACCATTAACACAGAGCTTTTCAATAAACTGTTTAGCCGTCTAGACAAAGCAATTCAACAAAAATGTTCGAATAGTCGAAATAGTTTCATTTTGCTGCAAAACCACGCCAGGCCTCAATTTGCAAAATCCACCAAAAATGTCATTAAATAATGTGGTTTGGTGATTCATTTGCATCCGCCATATTTTCCTGACCTTGTTACTTCGGATT